AACCCCCCCCCAGCCGCTCCACCATGTCCACCTCCCTCACCATACCCAGACCCAGACCCATTCCCTGACCCACCACCTCCACCTTTACCCCCACCCCCTCCACCACCACCAGCGGCTCCACCATGACCACCTCCCTCACCATGCCCCCCACCTCCTCCATAGCCAGACCCCGATCCCGATCCCAATCCGCCACCACCTCCGCCGCCATGGCCACCTCCTCCTCCACCACTAATGCCCTTCAAGGACCTTGCAGCGGAGGAGAGGCCCAAACTAATGCTAATGAGAGCTAGAAAGACTAAAGCCCTGAACTTTGTGGTGCTAGCCATTGTGGCTTAATGAATGATGGGTGAGAAGCTTTGGTGGACAAGTGAGTGGTATTTATAGCTAAGGGCTTGCATGCATTGTGAAGTGCCCTTAGATTTTTCAAATCTGCCACTTCAACTTCGAGAAAAAAGGAAAAAAAGAAAGGATCGAATTTTCTACGCATTGGTTGCCTTTTTTGAAAATTGGTTCTCATTAGCATTATGAAAAGATTATCTTCAACATATCTAGATCATATCTTTTTTTATTTAAAGAAGAAATGTATTGATTAGATACACTGAACTAATTTAAATATCAGATTTACATTCTCCAAATAGAGTACCAAACAATTTTGAGGTTCTATGATTTCTATATATGATGATGCTGTGAACAGTTAGAAAGGCGAGTGAAGTATGTACAATTCTGCTAACATAATTTTCATCATCAAGTTAATCGGTAATTAATAAATAAATAGGTGCACTTCAATGCATTATATGCTTGTCAAATTTAGAATTAATAGTGTGCTTATCTGTTATTAAAACATGCATGGGATGAATGAAATATTGTATTTATAAATCAACAAAATTTTCATACAAAAAAATACAATAAAATAATTATTTTTTCGTCCAAATTTAATTTTTTATAGCTTTATTCTTATTTTTTGGGGATGTTTTGAGCCTTTTTTTTTTTTCTATTTTTAAAGATAATAATCAATTTAACATTCTTATAAGCCCATTGCTATTTTAGGATTAAACATAAGAACATGCCCTGAATGTTAAAAAGACATTTTTGATGTATACCTTTATCTTTGGTATTCTCTACTGAGAATAAAGTTGCTATATACCTTTGTCTTTTGTGAAGGTGCTTTTCTTTGGTATTCTCTATTGTTGTTTTCACTATTTCAGCCATCTGTTTTCAAATCATGCATAAATTGGCTATCCTTCTAATTATGCCTGTGATAATCTTCTGCTTCCTTTGTCGTGTGTATGCTCAATGCAGACACTGCACAATTTCAATCCAACAAATCATGAAAGGTTAGTTCTTCTCAAGCTGAAAAGATATTTTTGATGTATATGTGTGGTTCTGAGAAACATGGTTTCATTTAACATCGATATGAGAAATTAAGGTTCATAAGAAAAATAAAAATTGTTTAGACAAGGATAACTGAAAAATACTTATTATAATGCCAAGTTATGTGAATATTGAATTTGATTGCATACATAGCTTGAATTTCCTCAAATAACACGTGATTTGTATAGTTGATAAGTTGCAATCGACATTGGAGTTCTTTTGCCCCAAAAACGCTTTTCTTATGTGAGTTAACCTTGTTCCAGAGTACAAATGTCTTTCATGTCATTTGAAACTCTTAGGATGCATATTTAGTCTATTTATGAGATTGCTATGTGTATCTTCCCTTCATGTATAGGATTTACATGTGTGGCTTGTTCTATGTGTATGATCTTCAAACTTAGTTTACTTTTACATGTAATCTCCATATGTATTTGTGCCCTCATGAGTATGGTTTTCATTTGTAGGATTCTTATATGCAAAATTTTAATGTGTAAATTTCCATGTTTTTTTTTTCTTTTACATTATATGAATTTTCTTCCCTGTATTTCCTTTATGACCTTTTTTCCTATGTCAGAAAATTAGTTCTTTGTGTAGTTCCTTGGTAATGTACTTTCTTATGGAAGACAACTAAGTGTGATTTATCCCCATATAGATAAGATATTTCACCTTATCTCCCCTAGGCCAAAACTAAATGCTAGTCACCAACACCTCCATTCATTTCCCTATGCCGAAACCTATCCCTAGCCACTTACAATTCCCTTCATCCCTTAACCTAAACCAAACCTTAGCCACCTACAATTCCTTTTATTTTCCATAGGCTGAAACCTGGCACTAGCCAACTACACTTCTTCTTTTTGCCCCATACTTCCCTTATTTCCCCAAGGTCAAAACCTAACCTTAGTCACTAACACTTCATCCTTTTCCCTGAGGTCAAAAATCAAACCTAGCCACCTACACCTCGCTTTATTTTCCTTAGCTGAAACTTAACTCTACCCATCTACACTTCCTCTCATTTCTCCTAGGTTGAAATTACCTAACCCCTGACACGTATAGGTCTCTTTATTTTTCCTAGGACAAAACCAAAACATATCCACCTACACTTCCCCTCATTTTCCCTGGACCGAACCACACATTCTAGCCTCAACCCTCCTTCCTCTTTCCTACCTCGACCAAAACCTTCATGCGCATTCACATCTCCTCACCCTTCTTCCCCTTGGCCAAGTCTTGTCCTGATTGGTTTACTTGCATGTACATTTCTCCATTTGTAACTTACTTTTACATAAATATTGATGTGTAATTTACTCTATGTATAGTTTATTTTTATATGTTGGATTTCCATGTGAAGTTTGTTTATATGTGTAACATTTCAATGTATAGTTATTTTTTATATGTTTTCTCTTTGCTTGTATAAATCCTCTGTATGTCTAGCATTCACTACACATAGTTTATCTCTATATGTAGGTTTCATGTGTAATCATATGCAAGTTTCATATGCATTTATTTCATATTTAGTTTATCTCAACGTTCAAACTTCAAATATTTTCCCTAGATGTTGAATACATGAATTTCAATGAATAGTATGTATGAATCATATGATTTCTTCATGTGTTTAACCCATAATTTTGAAAGAATCTTGTTTAAGTTTCATATGTAATTTCCTCCATATGTAATTCACTTTCATATGTAGGTTTCATGTGCTTTGATGTGTGAGGTCCTATATGCTTTCAAGCATAGTTTTACCATCTATAGTTTACTTTCATGTATGAAAATACCCATGTATAATTTACTTCCATGTGTAAGTTGCATGCACTTTCATGTGTAAGGTTCTATGCACTTTCATGTGTCCCTTTCGTATGCTATCATGTGTAGTCTCCATGCATGTGTGGGATGTTTAATGTATAAGCTTTATGTGTTAAGTAATCTTCCATACGTTAAGTATTACTTTGTGTTAAATTTTCCTCCATATGCTAATATGTGAAACTGAAATAAAACATTAAAAAAGAAGATAGCCTCCCATGTGTTGAACTCTTTCTCATGTGCAAATATGCTATATAAAATGCGCTACTTGTGAGATCATAGGACTAATATATGTTAATTTATAAATTCAGATAACTTGGTCCAAAATTTTTCACAAAATAAAATCTAAATTTTACAACACTTTAAGTCATTTTAAATCTTAAATTTTAAAATACATTAAAGTATTTTTAAATAATTCAAAAAATATTAATTTTAAAATATTTTAAATAAATTTTTAAAAATATTTCAAAGCCTTAATTTCAAAACATTGAAAGATATTTTTTAAAATATATGTTAAAAAATTTTAAAATAATTTAAAAATAGTAATTTTAAAACATTTAGAATTTCAATTTTATTAACCTTAAAAAAAATTAAATTTAAGTTTTAAAATACATTAAAATATTTTAAAATAATACAAAATTCTTAATTTTGTAACTTTTTTCGAAAAATAATTCAAAATCTTAATTTTAAAATATTGTAAAATATTTTATAAAACATTTAAACCATTTAAAATAATTTAGCTTGTTAAAATTTTTGCTTTCAAAAAACTTTATACCATTTGAAATAATTTAAAATTTCAACTTGCAGAATACTAAATCATTTAAAATAATTAAAATATTAAATACTTTAACCCTTTTAAAATGACTCAAAATCTTAACTTAAGAAAATATTTTAAGACCAATTAAAATACTATAAAATCTCAACTTTGAAATACTAGACTACTTAAAATTCTTAAAATTCCATCTTCAAATTACTCTCAAACTCTCTAACAAAAACAACTTAAACTTTCAAACATTCTTGATTTAAATACTTTAAACATCTAACCTTTAAAATATTTAAGAATTTCAAAACACCTTTCACTTCTGAAATAAACTTGAAACTCTTAATCCCCAAACATTTACAATGTTTAAAACACGAAAAACCTAATTGAATCACATGAAAATTAATCTTATTTTTTTTAAAATGCTTAACCCTTTGTTTCTAAATCCTTATCCAAAATCATAAGAGCCTTCAATTTTCATGTAAAATTCAATAAAAAAAACTTTAAACCAACACAAGTAAACTCAACGGAGAACTCCAACTTAGGATTGAAAAAAAAAAATGCAAATCGTTGAATATAGATCACCTTGATTTTAAACTTTAAACCAACACAAGTAAACTCAATGGAGAACTCCAACTTAGGATTGAAAACAAATACAAATCTTTGAATATAGATCACCTTGATTTCCGAATTAACCGATAAACTAGAAGTTGAACCAAATTATGAATTAAATATCAATCCCTAAAATAAATTTAAAATTCACCAACTTAAATAATGAAAACATTTACTAGGTAGATTAACTATGAATTATTAGTTAGCCAACTTAGAAGTAAAACTCAGAGTCACACATCTCTGTCGGTTTATATAAATGTTTTTTTTTAAGAAATAAAATATTTCTTCAGACCAAAGGAACCATCAGGGTTGATTTTACTTCTAGAAATCACAAACTACTACAATTATTTGACCTTGAAGTCTTTATTTGAAACTTAGGCAAAAGATAGCTCAAGCTAGATCACTAAATTTACAAAT